AGTGCAGCCTCTTCCGTCTATTACTTATCCAGTGTCATGCGACTCACATTCTGCAGGAGAAGTTGCCGACGCAACAAAAATGTGCCTAGAAAGGACGACCGTCTGCTTTGCAGACTTTACCACCATGTTCGATTACGCCTATTGTGTATCCGTATGTAGATAATAACACTAAATGGTGCACCACCGAAAATCACTTTCACGATCAAGGCCTTCTATCGTTCCACCAGCGTGCAGGTTCTGTTTCGTAACAAACTTTCATAACCGTTCGCTATTCGATCTGGCATTCGACAAGGCTGTGTCCTGTCGCCAATTCAGTTGAACTACGCCATTGACTGGATTCTGGGGAAGGTCCTACATGTAGAGCACGGTGTTGAGTTTGCACCAGGACGCCGACTGACTGATTTCGACTACGCTGATGAGATCGGCTTACCAGCTGCGACCTTTAGTAATCTGCAATCTATGGTTTGACGGGTAAATAAGGTCGCTAAATCGGTCGGTTTGGCATGCTGCATCCCTGTCCAATAAATGGTACCTCTCGAAATTGATGACTGTCAACTTGAATTATACTATTTCAAATACCTCTGGGCGAGGTTGTTGGCAAAATGAACAGACTAAGGATGAAATTGTCTCCCGAATAAATGCAGTTCGCGGTTTTCCCGAGCCCTGGAAAGTGCCTATAAACCCGACGCGACTGTTCACGTGTACACTGCATTCATCCAGTCTCTCCTTCTCTATGGCTTGAAATAATGGACTATGAGCGTGGAACATGAATATATCCGACTATCGCTGCTTGAAAACCGTCTTATGAATGAAGTACACCGACTTCGTCTCAAATGATACAGTCCGCACTAGCTATGACAACATCGCAATCATATTTCATGCTACCCAACAAAAATGATCGGATAGTTTGGACATGTTCTTCGTCGTCAACCTAACGAGTTCATTACCATTGCCCTCGGTCCCAGAGTTACATAATTTTACATGTGGGTAAGCACAGCCAAATTCTGTTCAGATCATAAAGGCCAATTGGAAGTCTAGTAAAGTTTATGCCAAAATCCATTTATACGGTTCCAGAAACGGGTATTTAGTTTTACAGGAATCGCTGTTCACCAGAAGAGGCATATATCGGTTCTTGCTCGCGTATTTTAAAGGCATAGACGCCAGGCCAATTTAATTGCTTCAGGTGAAACGGAGCGCATTTATTCTAACCTCAAAATATGCACTTAAAGCAAAGTACGCATGATCGAAAAGCTGTTTCTGGAAAAGCGGACTTTAATAAAGGGACAAACCATTACTTCTAGATTTCGACTGTTTTAGGCAAATACATTATGCTCGCTTTTAACAGGCTAGACGCAGAAGTAAAAGCGGTCAGAACAGCAAAGACATAGATAACTTTGGGTGCATTTTCCTGAGAACCGCCTGGTCGAACGAAGGCTTAGGGCACGCTGTGAAAATTAGCTTTAGCTCAGCAAAACGATGTACTTGACCGAATTGTGTCTCATTAAATTAGGAGAATGCGGCCCGAGGCGTCTGAATGAGTTACCGCAGTCCCACTACGGGTGACAATGAAAGGCCCGGAGTTTCGCCCATACGCGCCTTGACACCATGCAGCTGTGATGAGGTAGGTTCGTCAACAGGCCCTCCCAGCAGTTCCCTGCGGTTTTAACGAGGTAGTTCAGTTTTCTGTGTTAAACATCTATTTTTCCTCAGAAAGTAATGCATACACCTGCATTTAGTTCGTCAGGACGGCCCTTTTTGGTTTAGGTCTAAAGAAGAGTGGATCTTGGCTCCGTAATAGTACGCAGACGCCCATGTGCACACTGTCATATAAAACGTCTTAATAAAGCGGTCCATGAAGTAAATTGCGGCCAAATTTCCTTGTAGAGACCGCAGGCATGATATTTCGCTCTCTTGCCAGCATTAATCGCTATATTACTCCAAAGTGGTGCATAGTCTTGTCTGGGATCCCCACTTATTCATGACAGGAATAGGCAGTACAATAAAAGTGAACGTTTTATAACCTCAGTGTTTAGGTGCGCTGCTCTTCGTGATATAAATATGCTCCAAGGTAAGAGTCATTTGCCAAATTCCAAGATTTCGGGAAGGTATCTGGAAGAAAACTCAAACCACTATCCGATAGCCTGAGCACGGAGATACCCGTACCCCTCTTCCCTACAAAATTTCAAATGACAGCTCTCGATTTCGCGTTTTGCGACTTGTAAATCAGTCGCCTCTTGTGCCTGCTTCCAAGTTTCATAAACAAACAATGATAACTTTGGCGTAGTATTGGGTACTGCAGATTCTTCTCTTAAGAGAGTTTAACTTCTCGAGTGCATGGCAGACATTGCTAATTATGAGCATCGAATCAAAAAGGCATGATTTCCAAAAGGCGTGAATATTAAGCAGGTACATTGTATACTCTGATATAAGAAAAAAGTACAGAAAATAATAAATGCAAAATCAGCTTATGGGGTTCCGGGCACGTGGTAGGAAACTAATGAGTTTCTCTGGTGGTTTGCGTAGCAAAATAAGGAAAATGATACAAATGGTTATGTACTGTTTCCTACATTGTCCCGTGCCGGCGCGGATACCGTACTACTCCTTTGGCTGTTGTAGTTAGGATCATAATTTTCAATGTAGAATTTCTTGTTATTTGTGTCGTCGGTAGAACAGGTCAGAAGCTCATCAGGATCTTCCTCCAAAATTGCTTCCAGGACGGTGTCTTTGTGCGAGTAAGGCGTGCTCGTTGAATAGACTCTGCGAAACCTCCTCTGTGGTGGGACGCGCATTGATATACGCATAGACGGGGAGGAGCAGGAGGGCTGGGTGCCGCCCATTTTGAAAGGCATAATACTTTGAGGATCATTCGTGAAGGATAAAGAGGCTTTGCGCCTAAGCCTGAATAAAATTTGCAAAAGACCGCGCCTCTTATTCTTATCGTACTGGACGCAATTTTCATGGTCACAAGAAACTTTGTTGAAATTTTCCGTTTTGTTTTTGTAAGTTGGCTTCTGCTGACGCAAAAGAGAATTCATGTGAGAGAAACATGAGGCGGGAGAGTTGTTTAGTTTAGAGGGTGGGATTTTAGGTAAGTCAGTTACGAAAGGCATATGGCCATTGGAGGAAACGTGAATCATTTTTAGGCGGCGCAAGTAATAAACGTAAGAAAAGTCCGTTTTGAATCCTTGCGGCGTCTACTGCGTATATATAGTGAGAAAATCAAACAAATCAATCAAATCCGACCTA